ATGATCAACATGTGTACGAGTTCGAGAACTTTATGTTCAAGCTAACTAAACGAGACTATTGATCAGTAGGGAATGGATTGATGCTTGACTTCACAAAAGAAATTACTAAATGGTAATTAGATGACGTAGAAGAAGTGATTAGATTCACCATTCACTATAGCTACTCCGGCCAACGGGCCGGGTCCAAATTAGTACATTTTAAAGAATTTGATTTGCTCCATTTCAAATTTCCTGCAACGAGAGTGAAAGTAGGAAGGGTATTTTCGTCAACACAATCAATTTTTTTTATTTCACATAAAAATATATTAATGCTAGGATTTGAACCATGGTCTCTTCCATCAAAGACAAGAAGTGTAACCAATTAGACTAGACACATTCGTTGTACTTTGTTAATACAAAATATAGAGGAAGTTAAAATTATGAAAAACAGAGTACTTTTCTATCACGGTTAGTTAGCCCGCTAAGTCTCCTATAAGTATTTTGTGGTGTTTGATAATTCTATTTTCATATTTTAATAATTATTTTAGAATTTTTTCTAACTTATAAATGAAGAATAATCTTAAAATCTCAACACAAATATCATTGGTTGGAATATTGCGCATTGAATGGAAGTGTTGAATGAAGTGTTCAATGACGACATAAGAACATTGGTACCATACATTTCAAGAAAAATAAACATGATAAACACCGATACCAATTATCTCGACAATCTATGCTAAAATTTGAAGTTGTTTAATCATTCAATTTGAGTGATAGTTTAGTCAAAGCAAGCAAATAATTCACGATTGCGTATGAACAAAAATAAAAACATATGTATTGTATTATAAAAATGTATTTATTTTAAGAATCTAAAAAAAAACAATCAAGACTTCCATATACAACCCCTTATTTCAGCATTGTAATTAATGAAACAATTTTTATCAACATGATGCAATGTTCAAACTAAGGTCCAATTATTAATCACCAGTATATAGTATTCAGCTTAGTGAACTATTTCAGTATCCACAACTAACAATTAATGATTACTTGCTTTCTGTTTGAGGGTTTAATGTAACACTCTCATGCCTACACTCTAAGCATTTTTTTTTCTTTTTTCAATATTTTTTGCAGTTATTTGTTAAATCAACTATGTTTCTAGCTTTCCATTCCTAATTATTCATTGCTTCCTACCAACTTATGGGAATGATGATTTTTTTTCATGTATAATCTATTGACTATGAATGTTGCTTATTACTTAAATTCAACGGTATCCATGTTAGGTGTGAATATAAAGTACTGAGTAGCTAAAACTCTACTTGAGTTAGTACGATCTTTTGTGCTATCAATTAAAATTCAATATATTATTATCTTATTACAATTTAGTCATACTAATTGTGCAGTAGGGGACATCTTATCAAAATCGTATCGAAAGACTCCTTAATTGATAAGTTTCCGGATGTAATCAATTATATCAAATAGAAGTGATAAAATTTATAGGATGCTCTCAATGTTTTCTATAATTATTGAGGTTCAACAACACGTTAGTCGTAAGATAATCATTGGGCATTTGTCTATCTCCTAGCTCGACTAGACACGCTTAGACGTTATAATAAAAATAGTAATTTTTAATAATGATGAATGAAGTAACAGTTCTGAAGCACTTTCATACTTCAGTTCAAATAATTTAACAACAAGCAAAATAACTCTCTAAGTTTATAATTTTTTTATACCAAATGGTGTAGTTAATTCATTTATGAGCTGAAATAGCTAATTATAAGCACTTAAATTTTTAAGTTAAAACTCATATGATACAATTGTTTGACGAAATGGTTTTTATATAGAGTGGTTCTATCGAGAGAGGTCTCTAAGAAACATGGCTTACTTTATTATTCCTTAGGTAGATATAATACATATCTTCATCGTTACTTTTAATTGGATTCAATTTAGTATACTTTTTCATTTAGATAGATTTTTTTAATGATTTTTTGGGATATAATATATCATTATTGTATGATGGTGTAGGATATTAGTTCCTCTCATTTTAGGTTCAAATTGATGCATTTTCCCCTTTATCGTTCCCTTTTATCAGTTAATAATTTTTATGATATTTTTCACTATGAAATATCGTGAGCAGAATCTATACACAACAATTTGTGTTTTTTTTTTTCCGTTTCCTCTTCTCTTGATTAGATATTGTGTCCATATTGATTCTTATATTGATTATTGAATTACTACTTTTTTGTTCTGAAGTTTATGAAACTAAGATGCATTTTTTTGAGAAACATGAAACTAAGATGCATTTTTTTGAGAAACATGAAACTAAGATGCATATCGATAAAGAATGTAAGGTGTCATCTTCCCTCTTAAGGCTTAAGCACTACATATCATTGTTTACCTACTGTTAAATCAAAGTCTTTCTAACTTGAGTACGAGCTACAATGACTTTTATTGTTGTCGATTTTTCTCAAAATATTAGGTATGTTGCTTTTAGTTTTCGCATTCTTTTCAGTTTGATTTAGCTTTTTATGTGTTGCTTGATAACGATGAAATTGCACATGTTTGCACCCTTAGTTCTTATCCGTTTGTGGAGCATAGTCGTATATTTTTGGCCTGTTTTACGCCGGGTTGTGCTACTTTGTCACATTTCAGGTCCCGGACGTCGAAGGAAAGGCTGAGCACAAGTTTCGGGGCATTCGGAAGTCATTTGGTCGAGCTAGGACCAAAACACGGGCAGGAGGCTTGCAAAGCACGGCCGTGTTCCTGGCCCGTGCTTTTACTGCCGAGGCTTCCCCCACAATTGTGCTACACAAGCTTAAAACACGGGCGGGACCAATTCAGAACACGCCCGTGTTTCTCCCAGACCGTGGCCGTGTATTTACCACTTGGCAAAGGGCACGGGCGGGCTGGAGCAGAACACGGCCGTGCCCTCGACCGTGTTTTGCCCAGTGATGCCCTTTTAGGCAGATTTCAGCCAAAAGAAAAGGGGAATCGGATTTTGAGAGCAAAAAACAGAGCCCTAGAGAGAGAAAGTGCGAAGAACACATCCTAGAAGCTATCTTGGAGCTGGGTTTCATCAAATCGAGCTTGGAGATCGTCATAGGAGTGGAAATCATCATCCCAGAGCAGATTTTCCTCATCTTTATGAGTATGACTACTCTGATTACTGTTTTCTTCTCTCTCTCTCTATGGAGTAGAACCTTTCTCTCACTTGGGTATGAAGAACCCTAGTTCTTTGTGTTAGGGATTTGATTGTAATGACTTGGGATGATTATACTGTTTGGTTTTAATCGAATGATGCATGTTTATTGAATTGATTGAAGTCTGATCAGCTTTTCTTGATTTCTGCTGCAACCTGAGATAGATAGAATCTGATTAGGTTGTTAGAGTCTCTTCATTCGATAGTAGGAGATAGGTTATACGAGAGTTAGCCAGTTTACTGCTTTGTACTGGAATTCAATTCCAGTAGTGGAGTTCTATGTTCATAGCCTCAGCTTTCTATCCCGGTGAAGACTAGTCGTCTGTCGGGTAGTTAGACTGAGAGGGCTTGGTCAGCTTAAGAGATTCCAAGCTACTGTCGGATCTTCCGCAGTCTAATCAACAGTGCATCAACCCAGGGTAATTACAATTGAACCTAACTAAGGAGCTAGGGGGACTCATTCCCGAGTGACTCTTTCCTGCTTTAGAAAACCGAATCATTTCCTGCTTTCTTACTGCTTTTGCTTTAAACAACAATCAATCGACTTAGTTGGCTAGATAATAAATAATCATGGAGTAAGCAGTAGATCTAGACCCCGGGTTGATAATAGAACTTGCCTGTTACTGCATTCCCGGACTGCGATTACACTTGGTCGCAGTTTGGTGTTGTGTTTTGCCTTGTCATTGCTCTATTAGTTGAACTTGCCAGTTGGAGATCTACATGCTTTGACTACATTAATGTCACAGTGACTTCTATATGAAATGCCACTCGAAACATGAGTATGTGATTTAGTTTGTTTCTTATTAAGGACACTCTAAACATATACTTTGTTCCATTATATCATTGAATACACTAAAGTCAATGGAAAAGTCGAAACATTTTATCATATACTGAAGATTGATTATGCATGTTTGATGTAAAACAACTCTTACCATTGTTCTTCTTAGACGTTTTTATATCAATACGACTTCTTTTGAAAATATGTATTTATGTTAGTGTAGTTGGACGTTGTTCGTCATTTTTAAAACTTCGTTAGTCAAATACATCAAATACTTTCCATTATTATTAATGGAGAACTTACCAAACTAAATAGTTATACCCCAACGGCCCAACAACATAAACCATAACAAAAATATATACCTATAAACATGACAACATGAGAATCAAACTCTACACTTATACATAACAACAAATCAAACTCTCCGGCCAAGAGGCCGGACCATAATCTAGTTTTATATTGTTCCTCTTCCATCTTTTTAGGTCCAAAGTGGAAGAGATGCAAACATAATTACATAAGGCTATCATAACGAAAGAAGTTATAGATAAGTAAACTTATCAGTAGAAGAAAGTGTTTTGCTCCTTTTGTATCATGCGATTGTCCAATGACGAGGATGTTCCATACGCCGCACCATCAGTAGCTCGTATTCGATCCAATATGACCTTGAAAGAAGTTACTTATGCTATCCCCATGCTAATAAGAGGAATTTGACATAAAGAAACGTTCAATTTGAAAACTATCATCAATAATAACATTAGATCAAATTCATATACGCAAATTATCCATCTAGCCGACGTGGTTTATATTAGATCGGTATGGAAAGAAGGTAAGCAAGAGAAATGGGTAGAAGCCCATACCCGCTTTATATGATCGGCGGGCCAAACACGATCCAGTCAACCGCAGGTTCAATTCTATCTGTACCGGCCTCCCTTCTCTTGACCGCATCGCTCGCGCGCCGCACTTCCAGTCCATGGTAGTTTTAGATTTCAATTAAAAAATTTGACCTTTTTTACCAGAAAAACAAAACAAAAGAAAAACAGCGAAAAAGAGTTGTGAATTGTGATAGGGAAGTCGTGGTGTGGTGGGGAAGCACTCCTCATTTATGTCATGTGAAAGTGAAACCCGACCTCTCGACAGAAGAAGACGACCCTGCCTTGTTTTCCTTTCCCTTCTACTTTACCCTTTTGCTTTCACGAAGAGGAAACTCCTTCAACCCTTCGAAGAACTAACCTGCATTCCTGCATCGAAAACCCATCTTCAATCATGGGCAGCGAATAGTAACCCCCGTTTATCCCTTGTCCCCTTTCTCTTCCCCTTGTACTTCGATTCTCTGCTTGGTTATTTTGTCGATTAACTTTTATCTGTTTTTCTTTGCAGCGACTACCTCTTCAAGCTTCTGCTAATCGGGGACTCCTCCGTTGGGAAATCCTGCCTGCTCCTTCGATTCGCTGTAATTTTGACTCCCTTTGACCTCCCTCTCCCTTACTTTATGTTTCTTGCTTTCGTTACTGTGGGTTGGTTTCTTGGCGGTGTTGGGTAAAACTGAGCGATGCTGGTAGGTTTCGTCGTCTCTGGAGGAATGCGGATATGGGTTTTATGTTTTACAGTGTAAAGTTTGTTTCTTTATTCGTTTGGCGGCTATTTGAGAGGATCAATAGCTTCCAATTTGACTCCTCTTTCGTGGGTTCTGTTTCTTGTCCACTTTCAGGATGATTCCTATGTGGATAGCTACATCAGTACCATTGGGGTTGATTTCGTGAGTCCCCTAAAAACTATCCTGTCACTGAAGTGAAATGTGCACTTCACCGAACTTTTGTTTGTATGTTCGTTTTGGTTGCACCAAATGGCATAAGGTTAGATGATGAGTAAAGACTTTGGAATGTTGATTGGCTTTTGTAGAAAATCAGAACCGTGGAGCAGGATGGAAAGACAATCAAGCTGCAGATTGTGAGTACTCTGACCTGTTTTCACTTGACAGTATGATTTCAGTTCGTCTTGCTCGTGTATTCTTTCTGTCGGGTCCCCTGTCTTGTTTGAATCTGATGAACTTTTGAGATGAATTTTGATACTGGAGTCGGTAGCCAATTTATGGGACAGTAAAGCAGAAAAGGCATGGATTTGCATAGAAATGGAGAGTTTGATTGCACTACAATTTGCAATGTCCCGGGGGTTTGAGTTTTGCTGTTCGACTATTTTAAAATCTGATCTTTTATTTATGGCCTCATTGTTTTTGTGCTGTCTCATGGTGCATTGGATTTGGCAATAAGAAAGGGATGCATATATTTTTCGATGTACAAACTGCTATCTGGTTTTTGCTCTTATACGTGAAATTTATGTTCATATTATGCAGTTTTTATGGGTGTGGTGCATACCATTGTTTCATAATGTCACAGAAGCTTATACTTCTTCTGGTTCTTGTCTTTCTAGTGGGATACTGCTGGTCAGGAGCGCTTCCGAACAATAACAAGCAGTTACTACCGAGGGGCACATGGAATAATTGTGAGAAACTCTGATGGGCTATGTGTCTCTATGTGCAGAACATTATGATCATTATTTTGCCGTGAGATGACCCTTTGGGACTTTTGGATTTGTATTTCAACAGATTGTTTATGATGTTACTGAGATGGAGAGCTTCAACAATGTCAAACAGTGGTTGAGTGAGATTGACAGATATGCAAATGACAGTGTCTGCAAACTTTTGGTCGGGAACAAATGCGATCTAGTTGAGAACAAAGTTGTAGATACGCAAACAGGACAGGTGCACTCTATAAGTCTGTTACCCTTCTTGTTATTCTTCATGTTCATTCTTATGTGGTAGGAAGTTCTTTAGTTATTTTCCTTCTTACTAGCTTGGATGAAGGCTGCTAATATTTGATGACTTCGGAAATTTTACCCTGCTTTGAGACTATTCCATGCGCCTCACCAAAATCTCACTGAACTACTAATAATTTATTGCAGCTACTAAATGAGTATTTGTATTCTGTCCTTCCAAAGTGTTAGAAATAAGTTATTTTCTTGTTCCAGCAGCAAAATGGTGTCCTTTTTGTCCAATTTTCTCAACTCAGTGATTTATTACTACTGCAGGCGCTAGCGGATGAGCTTGGCATCCCTTTCCTTGAGACCAGTGCTAAAGATTCAATAAATGTGGAGCAAGCTTTCTTGACAATGGCTGCAGAAATTAAGAAGAAGTATAACTCTTATGCTCGTTGCTTTTACTCTCACCTTAGAGTTGAATACTAATCTTATTTTTGTAAAGCTCCATAACAAATGCAAATACGTATTGCTGTGGACTTAATCATACTGCTAACATCTTTAACAAGAATATCTAGCCATGATACACTACCTGTCATGCATTGGTGGCTGGCTGCTAGGAAACGTTGTCCAATTAACCATTGTTCAGCAATAACCTCTGATGAGGCATAAGATCCTTCCTGCTGTAGAAATTGATGATTGTTGTTCTGATTCATTCCCTTCAAATTTCTTATGGCTTTTGAAAGTGTCAATTCCATGATGCATGAAGAACTCACCAGTGATCTCATAATTTTTTTGCAGAATGGGTAACCAGCCGACTGCTACCAAGGCAACAGGAACGGTTCAAATGAAAGGACAGCCAATCCAGGAAAAGAGCAACTGCTGTGGTTAAGTGAGCGGAGTCGTGGTATTTTGCTCTTCCAACAGAAGACTTGTTGGATGATGGACATTGAATATGTGTTTTTTACATTGTTTATATCGCCCGTAGAAGAAACTGTTGAACTTTTATGCCTCTACCTGCCTAACTTAATGAACTCGAAAGAGTTATCATAGATTCAGTTCACAGATCTTTCATATTGTTATTAGAGTGGCAAAACTGACCTAATGCATGTATTGCCCCTGACTTGCAACTCAGCCAACCCGAGTTCGTCGATTATTTGGTAGTCCGGACTCGATTGATCCTTAGCTCGGTTGACACATAATCTGGTTTATGTGTCTATCATCTAATCTGATTGGCATGTAGATAACTCATAATTGGTTATCGATTCGACCTGACACTTAATTTGATGTACTCTTGAGTTCAAGTTATTTAAGATCGTAATGGGTATTGTAGACATCTGCAACTAGTTGAATGTTGCTTACAGCTTACTGGCCAGGCACTTTACATGAAAAAAGGAGAACAGAGTGGCTCCCGAAGTATCTCAACGGCAAAGTCAGAAGATGAACATGTACTAGCTAGCGCCTAGCAGGCATGATGAAATTCGGGTGTGAAAGCGTTTCATATTATGCCGGCGCCCGATTTGAAACAGAGACAAATTGCAAGTGGTGGAGCCAAGCACTATTATGGTCATGGATACATCTTTGCATTATCTTTCACCAATAGGAGTTAGTGATCGCATCCAGAAGCTCACAAGTCACAACAGATAAATTAATAGAAGGGATAATATACCATAATCTGAATTTTAGAAGGTTCAATATGATCCGACATCCGAGGACACGGAGGATTATCCATCGTCAGCAATACAGTTTAATTTTCTACCAACCATTCATCTCAATATACAAAATTTGGGTTTAAGGGGTGTATCACAACTTATAAATTGATTAGGTTATATTGCAAGTATGAGGATTATTTCCGGAAGTGGATACAAAATTTTATTTCAAAACACAAAATTTTGCATTGGTGGTCTATCTATGATCACAAACTGATGATTCTACGAGTAAAAAAGAATTCAATGGTTTTATAATGAAACATTTTCAATGTTAGAAGTGATCGACTAAACATGCATTGTGTCTACCACCTCAACCATCTAAAGTCCAAACTAAGGGGTTGTTTAGAGACTGAAATTTTAGAGGAAGTATTACATGTAATGATGAAAATTTATCATTTTATTTTATTTTATTTTATTTTATTTTGAGACATAATACTTGCATTTACCTTTTTCATTGAACATCGATAATTTTTTATGTATTCTCAATCTCAATCAAAAGATTAGATTGGAGTTAATTGCATGGTTGGTCACTGAAATTACAAAAAACGTTTATGTTTGGTCACTCAAAATATTTAAATCCATTCAGGTTCACTACGATTAGTAAAACAATCCAAGTTTAGTCACTCTCTGTTAGTATCCGTCTGTCTCCGTTAACGGCGTCAGTTTTCTGCTGATGTGGCTAATAGACATGTCTGGTCACCCAATTTAACCTGCCACATCATATGACCCGACCCGCCACGTCAAACTACTATATAACCTAACCCAACCCAGTTCAACAACCAAACCGACCCTTCCTTCTTAACGTTTCAGGCAAATTAACCTAAATCTTTTTTTATCAAAGAAATTATCCTAAATCAATTGCCTTCACTTTGACATCACAAACTCTTCGATTGCCTTCATTTTGCATTAGGAGAATCATCTGTTTGTGGGGGAGCAGCTCTGCTTCAGGGTCAATCGAAGAAATGGAAAGACCTTGGAATCCCTCTTTCTCATCATCGATATCGTCAAAGTCAGACGATAAATGGAAAGACCTTGCAATTGTTGCGGCGATCAATTCAAGCACCATTCAGACCTGGTTGTTGAAGGGAATGCAAGAAAAATGAAGAATTAGAGTTCAGATTTGGAAAGGAAGAAGGGATAAACCCTTATTTTGTTTGAGTGGTTGGTTCCTGGGTAGGTGGGTCGGGTTGGGATGGACAAAATGACATGGCGGGTCGGATTTTACTATTTTTTATTTAAATTAGACTGACTTGGCGATTCTGTCTGCCACGTCAGCACATAACGGTCTTGGTTAACTGAGACGGATGGAGACTAACGGAGAGTGACCAAACTTGGACGGTTTTACTAATTTTAGTGACCACGAATGGATTTGAATATTTAGAGTGACCAAGCATGAACATTTTTTGTAATCATAGTGACCAACCATGCAATCAACCCAATTAGATTGTGTGAGATTGTATTTTTGGATTAAATGCAACCTTTTCTTTTGCATTTTCCAAATTAGGCAACTACTAAACAATATATTCTAAAAATTAATGTATTTATACAATTTCTTATTCCAATGCTTATATGCTATAAATGCAATTGGTTAAAAATAGTGGCACATACTAGGATTTCAATCAATAAGCAATTCCAATAGGCAAGCCGATGAAGATGCTCTAAGGAAAACAAAAAGTTAGAAGGATACAAGAAGGTTTGCTATATATGGAAAATTATTAGCCTGTTGGGTGTATATATCGAAAATTGGTGGCTTGTTAATTAGGTTTCACACTTTTTAGCATAGTTAGTAAAATACGGTACGGGAAAGTTACGTAAAAGATACGTACGTGCATTATACTTCATCTTTAAGCTAAAATTACGTTTAATAGTACGTTAATAGTCATAAATATATAAAATTAATCATTTTAAAAATAAATAAATATATAAATAATAGTAAAGTTAACAATTTAATTCGTAAAATACGGATAATAAACGTGTTATACGGGTTTTATACGTGTTTAGTACGGGAACCATGAAATGAACGGGGGAAAATGAAACGGCTTGACAATAATACGGATACGGAAGTTTTAAACGGATAAAGTACGTACGGGTACATATACGTGTATTAAACGGAGTATTTACTAACTATGCTTTTTAGTATACATTTGTAATAATCTATTATTTTAAATTCATCAAAATGATACAATGTCGAATATATGAAACACGATATGCATAATTTATTTTCATTTTTATAGAACTTCCAATATAAATGCACTTAGTAAAAATGATTTTGTTTTGCTATACATAACCGTGCATAATGAAATGGGGAAAAAACCCTGCATGTAATTAGTTAAGATAAATCACCTCGATGTACTATACATCAGACGACAGTCGACACACATGCCGAGTATCTTACTTTTACATATTGAAATGAAATGTAAATGAGAGAAGGATACAAATTTCTATATATTTTAATTATTTCATTATATAAGGATGCATATATGATCATTTAAGTATATCATATGTACCACATTGTCATTGATAAACCATTACAAAAAGGCTGTACATATTAATAGACAACTTGTAAACTCTACATCAAATATTTGTAAATTCACCTGTAAGGTAGTTTACAAATTATTTTTTAAAACCTTAAACTCTTTCTCTAACCATTTACTAACCAGAGAAGAGAACAATGTATTGTATATCCATGAAATAGAGGGCGTACCTAATTATAAATAGGGATTCCTATCATAACTTGAAGTAAGGTAACATGATTTTTTTAGGGAATTTAATATCCAAACCTTTCATTTTAAACAATATAATAGCCAAACCTTTTTCAAAAACAATCTAATATCAAAATCGTCAACTTTCCGTCCGTTTGACCGTTAGTTGACACTTCAAAAAAGTTCGAAGTACGACACTTCATCAATATCCATCGATATCTTCTCTGAAAAACCACCAACATATTGTGGTTCCAAACCCGAGAAGTCCATGACTCCACCATGATGGTATAGAATATCTAAATATTCAGTCATCTGCAATGCCAAAACAAGAAAACAAAGTTGTATTGTGACAATTTCCCCTAAACAAAGCTTTTTTGAAGTGTTAACTAACGGTCAAACGGACGGAAAGTTGACGATTTGGATATTATATTGTTTTCGAAAAAGTTTGGCTATTATATTGTTTAAAATGAAAAGGTTTGGATATTAAATTGTATTTACCCATTTTTTAAATGCTATAGCAATTTCACAGGTTGCGTTATGTAAAATACAATAGGTATTACGTAATGGTTACGTAACGTATGGTCATCTTATGTAACAGTTGTAAAATGTCAGTATGGAAACCTTACGTAATGGACGTTTATTTTACGTAATGAATAACAACATTGCATTATGTAAAGTGTAAAGTCATTACGGAAGACTTACGTAACACTTCCGATTTACTGTTACCAATGCAGTCAAAATCGGGATTTTGATCTTAAAATCGTAGGATTTTAGGATTTTACTTAGGGATTTCGATCCTGATTTTACTATAAAATCGGTGGACCTTAAAATCGTTCAAAATCGGGATTAAAATCTTTAAAATCGTAAAATCGTACCAAAATCGGGATTTTGATCCTATGTGAACAAATAGGAAGCTTGAGCCAATTCAAAAGAAGTAGAACTGTTTCGGTGGAAAGGGCAATGACGGTGATCTTCTCATATATTTTTCCTATTAAAAGAACATTTGAAAAAAATATTCAACGAAAAAAATGAAGAAAAAAAACTAATTAGGGTTCGGTCAACCCCTTTCCCTTCTTCTTGTAACTCATCGGTAAAACAATTGTCAGAATATTGTAAGAGCATAAGAATTAACATCATTAATAACAAATTATTTGATTAATGAATATATTTGTACCAAACCAATAACATTACTTGTTTTATTGGATTTTAGTTATTCTTAGTTTTAAATCATGCTTAGTAGACAATGTCGGAATACTACTTTTAGTTAAACTACCTAGACACAACATGAAAAACAAGAGCCAAACCCCATGAGCTCTATCCTTTCCTCATAAATTATTTTGAGTTACGCATTAAATAACAATTAAAATGATGATTTTGGAATATTAATCTTGAAAATTATCACTTTACATGTTATAAGTCTTTGTAGTATTAATTATTTACCTTATTATATTTTAATTTCTATATGGTACTTAAAATCCTACGATTCTATGATTCGATTTTACGATTCCGATTTTACCCCAGTTTTCGATTTTAGGTAAAATCCCGATTTTAACTGCTTTGACTGTTACATATGAAATAACTGCCATTCTTAACATATACGTAATGGAAGGGCCTTTTACGTAATGAGTATTAACCTCGTGTTACGTAAATTGCTAAGTCATTACGGAAGCCTTACGTAACGCTTCTGATTTAACTGTTACGTAAGACATAACTGTCATTCTTAACTTTTACGTAATAGAAGGTACTTTTACGTAATGAGCATTAACCTCACGTTACGTAAAGTGTTAAATCATTACGGAAGTCTTACGTAATGCTTGTGATTTAACTGTTACGTAAGAAATAACTATCATTTCTTTACATTTACGCAATTGATGTGTATTTACATAACAGTTGTAAAATGTCATTAA